GAGAGCAAGCATTTGTATGATTGAAAAACACATAAACAGTGCTTTGAGCAATACTTCATGTGCCTCTGCCCTTTCCTGGTCTGTTACTGAAAATTGTCACAGTGTGAGAGGAGGGAGTTGCCAGCAGCAGCACGAAGGCGGTGAGCAGAGTTTGCTGGGGATGCCCCGACCAGCTGGGACGAGAGTCTTGCTTTGTTTGTTTTCCTCTTTGGAGAAGCCAGCGTGCTCCTCACCAAGCTGCTCAGGTTTGTCAGTATGACTGATATTAATGAAATGTTGTTAGGTATAAATTCCGGTTTAATCTTCCAGAAGTAAAGGACATGGCTTTTCCCGATACTTGGATACTTGCCCATGCTGTACATGCTGTGTTGTCCTATCCAGGACTGTGGTCTGCTCTGAGATTTTTGGGTATTTGGTTTGCAATAATTTAATTTTAAGAAGCCATTCTACATTTCTGAATTAATCTTTTCCTGTGGTATATTGCCTAAGAAACAGCAATATTAAAGGCCAAATTAATGTAAATAAGAGGGCCTGGTGTTTGCCTTTCACTCTGTGGCTGTGAATGCTCCACCGGGGCGATGTGAGCCCACAGCAGTGCCACGGCTCCGGGCTGTGCCGGGAGAGGAGCCCGGCTGCATCGATTGCCAGCCCCAAGCTGCAGCGTGTGCACCCTGCTGCTCACCAGGCAAGACGCCCGTGTTAAGTGAATTGACAGAGGCCAAGAGAGAGGAATTTTCAGCTGAATATGACAAATTGTGAAAAAAACATGGGGACCCCTGTCCCCTCACCGCAGATCACGGAGCTGTTTTGGCACTGTCCATGCGAGGCCAGAGCAGCAGAGGGGTTCAGCACCCAGGGCCACGTGGTGCACACGGATCCAGTGCTGACTTTATCACTTGTACGTGCTGTCTCGGGCATTTATCAGCAGATCACCAGCTGCATTTGCACAGCACAAGCAAGGTCTGTCCAGGAACCCAAAGCCATGACCAGGCTGGTGGCAAGACTGCTGCACGAGGGCAGCACGGCCAGCAGTGTGGAGATGAAGCTGCCCAGCTTTCTCTGCAGCACCTGGCTTTGGTAGGAGCTAAACCAGGGTTCTGCCAGAGCACAGGTAACAGCAGCCCAAAGTCAGGGGCAGCAGCAAAGCCCTGAGCACAGCTTGAAGCCAGCTCGGGCTTCAAGTGAAGGGTGACTGCTGCGGCCGGGCAGGATGCTCCTCGGCTCCCAGGGAGTGCGACAGGGTCGAGGCAGCAGGTGCTCTGTGGGGGATGCTCACTGTCCCCATCCCTGCTCCTGGCAGCACTTGGTTCGGAGAGGATGCAGGAAGGAATGGTATTTGGTGTGCAGTGCCTCTCTGGAAAACCTTCTGCTGCATGCGGCGTAACTGAAGACGTTTGTCAGTAATGTAGAAGTTATTTTCCTAAGTGGACATTAATGTTTTTCCCATTAATTGGAAGAAATTCTGAGGCTGTGGAAAACCTCAAAGTGATATCACTGTGAAAAGTTTCAAAAAATTCACACTGAAAAGGGCTTATGAAATCCAGACTTTTCCCAACCCAAAGTGACTTTAAAATAACCCCTCTTACTGCCCCCCAGCAGGTAACCAGGGTAAGGACTGGGGAGCGCAGAGCCCCTGCCCATGGAGGGGCAGCTTCAGCTGGCACCAGGAGGGCACCCTGCTGCTGGCCACCCCGCAGAGCCAGGAGCCACCAGGAAACAAGGGCACATTCCAGCTCAGCTGCCTGACTGCAGGTGCTGCCAGGAGCCGGGGGCTTCTCCCTTCAGGTCTGGTACCAAGTGCCTGCAATGGAAAGCAGGCGGCTGAACCAGAGCAGCTGAGCTGTCCCTGATGCCCTTTGGTGCCGAGCAGGCATGGAGCAGCGGCACAAAAAGCCCCCAGTGGAGCAGCTGGTGCTGCAGAGCTCTGCACTCTGGAGCTGGCATGGGTCTGTCCTGTCCCCTGGGGTCTGTCCTGCCCACTGGGAACCTGCTGGCACCTTGTCCTGGGCACCTGGTGAGGTTGGAGCCACAGCACTGCCTGGCTACCTGTGGGCGCTAAGCACAGGGACAACCAGAACAGCAGGTCTGTAAAAATGATGTTTCCCTGTGCCACATCTCCTCACCTCTCAGGGTGCTGGGGCCAGCTGGGCGTTGGGGCCAGGCCCTAACTCTCCAGGGACACATCCCGGCCCCGCTCTGCGCGGTGCAGCCGGGGCAGCGGCGGTGCTGCAGGCAGCTATGGAACGGGCATTCCGCCCGCACGTCAATTAGCCACGTGCTTAATTGTTTGCAGAATGGGAACCTAAATTTGCTTTTAGTGCTTCCCAACTCCCTCAGTCCCCCAATATTTCCCTGCTTGTCAGACACGCTCCGTTCCAACAGAAATAGAGATTTTTCTGGAAATGTGATTTATTTCCCCTAATTTTGATCTCTTGTTGCATTCTTCAGTTTTAGAAGCAGAACCCATGAAGAGTTTGGCTGACATGAGTGTTTGTGGAAAGGTTTCCTTTTTCCCCCTTTTCCATATTTTTCTCAAAAACAGCTACCTAAATCCAAATAAGATTAAGAGAAAAAAAAAAACTCTAAAATGGGTTACGTTAATTTAGTAAGTAGATCCTTTGTAACGATGAAAGAAGTGCAATATTCTTATGTAATAAGTCCTGCTTTATACATGCATTAATTCTTAAATTATATTGTTTTAATAAACAAGGCTGTAGACATGCCCAAGGGCACTGTTATTCTCAGAAGAGTTTTCCAAGAAGGCTTGTGTTGTTGGATTATTATTCCATGACTTCCAAGTTCACTGACTAGAACTATTTTTTTTTATACTCATATTGCAGTAAAAACAACAACTTTCAAATACTTTGTCAAGAAGATTGGGAATCAAAATGGAAACTATTTGTGTAGGATGAGAACTGCTGAAAACCTCTCGTTTTATGCAATTAGATTTGGAATCTGGAGCCTGGCTCATATTTAAAAAAAAAAAAAAAAGTGTTTTCAGAAGGCTACACTAATAAGGGGTGGAGGTGTAGGAAATTCAGGTCATTGCAGCGCTTCGTGGGCTAATCCTGCTCGGGGGGATGTGTTCAGGGCTACAGCTGGGCCCCAGGGAGGTGAGGGCCATCGGCAGGCTGCGGGCAGGAGCAGCCCAATGGGGATGGCACCACGACACCTCCAGCTCCTCCCGTAGCGTCCAGGCTGCAGAAAACACGAGTCAGAGGCAGCGCGAGTGGCAGAGGGCTCCGGGGAGGCATACCCCGGGCTGACCCTCGAGGACAGGATCCATTGCTCCGTGTGTCCCCTCCATAGGGCTGCTGCTGGCATGGGGTGAAAGGGTGCTGCCTGCCTGGATTGCAGCAGCCAGAGAAAGCCAAAAAGGCCCAGAAAAGCTGCTGTGCCAGGGCAGCTTGTGCCATCTTCAAGGCAAGACACGCTCAGGATGTATCCGTGCCACTTAATCACTGTCGATGTCCTGTGTATGGCTCCATGCTCTCCTCCAGCCCTCGTACCTACCGGCAGGGAACAGGAGCTCCCACCGAGCCTGTCAACAGGGAGCTGCTCTCCTGTCTCACGTTTCTGGCTTCGCTGGCCATTCTTTCAAAACCGGATACAAATGAAGGGAAATCTCACCAGTTTGTGCCTCTGTCAAGTATCTTCTGCCTTATTTCCTTGAATTATTAGCTCTCTTTTATTGGGTTTGGCTTGCAGGAGGATGACTATTTCATCCATCAAATCAGAATCTTTTTAACACTAATACTGAATTTATAGAAGTGGTTAAACGAAGTGTTGACAATATGGACAATGTGTTTCTGATTAACGCTGCAATTTAAAGTGAAACTGCCAACTGCCTAGAGTTCCTAAAACAGCGCAGCATTTTTCCAGACCCAGCGGGCTGGAGCTCCGCGTCGCAGCGCAGCAGATGTCAGACACCGCGCACGCTGCACTTGCGAAGGACGGACTCTGGAGCCAGGGCTCCCCTCCAGAAGCTTTGCTTTTCCCTCCAGCGATCATATTTGTCCTTTGCTCTTCCCTTTTTATTGCCCTGTTTGGGTGCATTCTCCAGCTCAGGTTATTAGCACTGAGACGTGTTCCTGCCTTTCCCGGGGAAGGGCAGGGCACCGTTCCCAGCCCCTGGGAGCAGCTCTCCCTCAGCGGTATGTTCGGTGCACGGGGAGGGCACCCGCGGGCTCCATGCTGGCTCCTGGTGCTCAGCATCACCCCGTGGCACGTGCACGCAGCGCCGTGTGTGCGCAGTGGGTGGAGGAGCGGGGATGGGACGGAGCACAACAGCCGGTCCTTTCTCTTTGAAGGACAGGAAAGCAGATTAAAATATCTTTTTTTTTTTTTTTTTTTTAATATGTGACACAAAAAAGGAGGAGTTAAACCAATGAAATAGCAACAGGAACAAAAGGGAGAGGGAGAATGGGGAGTGCAAGCAGAGCCGAGCCATCACTACAGTATCTAACAGAAGCAGTGTGATCACAGCCGACTTAAGAAGTATCACTTCCACCTGAAATCTCCTTTGAGAGCACTCACAGGACCAGGAGCTTTGATTCCCTCCTTTCCTTTGCTCGTTAATCGCCTTCAGTTGCAATACTGAACTTCTGAAATTCAACAGCTACTAAAATCTAAAGTATTTAGGGCTGGGAAAACCTTGTGGAGTTGGAGGTTTTGCAAAATGTTTTGGCTTCCCCAAGTTCAGAGCTGCAGTTTGAGTTCCGGAGTTTTCTTCCTGTAGTTTTAAATCTGCTGGGTTTGCTTCTTGTCCAAGGGTGGTTAAGTTTAGGCAAAAATGGCATCTTTCCCTGGTGCACGGTGTAGGATTAGCAGAGCACCCGCATTTCCAGGGGTGAAGAGGAGCACCCAGTGCACGGCGTTACCTGCATGCCCCGTAGCCCTGTACATCTGCACTGCTCAAAGCCCCTCCTTGGTGAGGCATCGCTCAGGGGAATGCACTCCAAGTTAATTGTGACCTGAAGTATGCTAGAGTTAGTCCCACTGCTTATCCCCCTGCTGATGCTTGTGAGGGCATTCAGCTGGTGTCCGTCTCACCGGTATAAATCCCACCTGTGGTGGGGGAGCTCTGGTTGCTGAATCTCTGGTGCTTGGGCTGCTCGGGACTTGCTGAGACCAGGCTCATCCCAAGGTAACAACTGTGGGGGGGATGATTTCCAGGCTGGGTATATGTTTGAGATGAAAGAAAATCACTTTTAAACCTTCACTCCAGGCTTGAACTAAAGCCAGGCTGACCCTTTGCTAAGCTGCTGTTTCCTTCCTTCCCCCAGTCTTTTGCAGTCCTCTTCCCCTACCCGTCCCCAAAATGTTTCAGCCCCTATCTGGCCTTGTTTAAGAGTCAGCTTCAATAGTACCTTTGTTAAGGGAGAAATCTCATTAAATGTGAGGTAAGAGGAAATGAGAAAGTGTAAAACATCCAGATTTATTACCTGTTGTCTTCTGAGTATTTGAAAATAAGGAGGGGGGGGCAAGAGGGTGACTGGTATCAAAGTTGTAAGCTTCTGAGCATTGATGTTGCTGCATGTGCTGCCTTCAGCTCTAAGGGTGCTGCTTACTCATAACACTGTTTTATCAGAAAGAAAATATTTGAGTTTTGTGCTTCTTGAGATAAAGAAGTGAATTGGTCCTAATGCACAAGCCTACTGGCTATGAGCCCCGTTACCCCATGCACATACAGGTAAATGTTTTTTTGTTGTTGAATTCAGAAATTTTTCTCTGTTCAAAGGGAAAGATTTTCCAGGATAGGTACTGTCTACTTTTTCCTGTTTTTAAGCTGAAAATAAAAGTACAAACCACTGAATTAGTGTTGGGCTTAACAGCACTGCTAATGAGGGAGCAGGGCTGCAGCCTGGGGCGAGTGAGCCCTCTGTTCTTGGGCATCATACCCGGGGTGCCCTGAGCCACTCAGTCCTCTTGCAGGAAGAAGGGTGCAGTGGTAGGATGTTTCTAGACAAAACAGCTGGATTAGGGAAACCATAAAACCTGATAAAATAGAAACCTGATAAAATAGCTCTGGAACAGCCATAGAGAGCTCTGCATGCTGGGTGGACCAGCACAGCTGCACGAGCTGAGTTACTGCCTGTTGGCTGGGTCCCGGTGCAGGGGCTCTGCACTTGCCCTCCGCTGGAGAAGTGTTTTATCCGGGTGGTGAAATGCTCAAATGTCCAATCTGAGGCACAGTGGGACCTGAGGTCTGCTCGTGTGGCACCTTCTGTGTGTGTAGCTGACCTGCACGCATCTGTGAGCGTTCATCTCCGACGTGGTGTAAATCCCAGAAACCTCTCGCTGGGCACTGCACAGACAGGGATGGGGCGGGAGCAGGCAGCTGTGAGCACCGTGTTGTAAATAACTTTGCCCACCCTCACACAACAGCTCCAAAAGAGAGGTGCTCTTCCAGCGGGGCTTTTGGTGTGTGATGTGTGTCTGGTGCGTGTGGCTCTGCCTCACCCTCACTGTGCTAACGGGACCGATGTGCGGCTCGGTTCAGCCCTTTAAATGAATTAGTGGTTGGGGAGTGATGCGCTAATTTGTCCTCTCCCCACGCAGTGTGTGCAGGGAGGTTGGTGTCACCGGTGATAACCGTGCCTGCCGCCCCCCGGGCTGGGCGAGCCGAGGGGCCGGGTGCTGTCCTGTTTCCCAAATTGCTGTTCCCGGCTTGTTGGGCCGTTACCATGGAGAATCAGCAGCCAGGGGAAGGGGGGGGGGGGGGGAGCCTCTCGGCAGCAGCCGGCTGCAGGCCACCCCGGGATCCCTCTCCGCGATCGCCGGGTCCCGGAGCGGGGCCGGGGGCTGGCGGGGAGCGGTCCCGGCGGGGCAGGGCGCGGGGGCGGCCGCAGCCCGGTGTGTGCACGCCCTCCAGAGCACGGGGAAGGGCGCAGCAGCGCCTTTGTCCTCGGCCGGCCGAGCCCAGACAAAAGGCTCCCTCCTGCTCCGCGTGGCAGCGGGCAGGGCTGCCCCGGGCTGCTCGCCTGGGAAATGAGGGGACTGCAAAGGGAACCCCCCCGGCACCGCTCCCCGTGTGCTGTGGGGCGCTGGGTGCTGCTGGTCCACCCCCCCACATCTCGGGCTGTGTCCCCACAGGCAGGGCTGGCGGTCCCACTGCGGGCTCTGGGAGGTCCCCGGGCAGGGGGCTGTTCTTGCCTGCCCCCCGCTCCCCGTTAGGTGGCAGCTGAGGCCCCCCTCGTGGCTCCAGGCTCCGTGCGTGCTCGCTGTGCTCCTGGGCAGGACACAAAAAGGCTTTCTCCAGCGCAGGACACCGCAGTGGCTGCTTTCCTTTATCGTGAGTGCCCGGGAGATTCATGTTTATTGCAACTTTTTTTGTGTACTTGTGCCTCTCAGATAGCAAGAATCGATAGTCAATAGTTCTTCTGAAGTAAGCATTGCTGCGGGACAGAAGTGTGGCCCCACAGGGCTGATGAGCATCGCAGGCTCATGATGAAGCAGTGTTAGCAATCAAAGAATCATCTAGGTTGGAAGAGACCTCAAAGATCACGTACAGCTGTTTACAGTTTAACCAAGCACTGACAATTCAGGGCTGAATCGCCCAGCCCTTCATCTTCCAGCTTCACAGTTCCTGAATTTGGCCTGTGGTGCCTCTGAAACATCACAAGTGACCACAGGAGGTGGTTTGCACCTTCTGTGGTCAGAAGCTGAGATAAGCAATGCCTTGCTCAAGAGGGTATCGATGTCCTGTGATAGCCCCAAGCAACCATCCAGCCTGATAGATGTGTTGAAGGCAGAGGAATGTGATCTGGTTTAGTTTTATTAAGAACAGTGATGTAGGATGACCCACCATCGCTAAGGGCTGGTCAGCACACAGGTTTGGTGGCATCCCCACCAGTCTTGGTAGCAGCCAGGAACCTCAGAAGCCCATCTCTGTGGTACCACACAGGTAACACATCCCCCTTCGTTTGGGAGCTGCAGCCCTGGTGTCAGCAGGCCAAAGCAGACTGGTTGGTGAGTTCAGTGTTTGATTTTATTTGATTTTTGTGCTGCCTGCAGGGTCTGGAGCTGGGTGTTGCTCTGGGTGTCAGAGCCAGCCTGGCTGCACACCGTGCCTCTGGGGACTTGCACCCATTTGTGCTCTTACCCTGGTGCAGAGGAGACCACCAACCCCGAGTGCCCTGGGGAGGTGCCGTGCCCCAGCACACAACAAGGGGCCAGGGCCCTGCTTCAGCCGTGTGGCTCTAAACCATCCCACCTGCATGCCCACAAGCAAATCCTCAGTTGGCTACTGCCAATAGCAACTGTGCACCCCCAGTCTTTGCTGGGGTGGGGGCTGTATCCTAGAACGATGCCCACCCCACCTGGCCTCGTGTTTGCTGTGCACCCCAAGGCCCGTCCTGGTGCGTGGCACCAAGCGATGCCAAGTGCGGGGGCTCAGGTGGCACCGTGCGGGGTTTGAGGCAGCAGATTGCAGGGAGCAAATTCACCTTGTCTGTGCTGAGGCAGCTTTAAATCAGGGCATGAGCGAGTGGCAGGGCTCTGGGTGCCTGCTGGTTCTCCCTCCATCCACTCTGTATTCTAACCCTAATTGTCTGCAGCAACCTGTTATTACCGCGCCTTTAACATGATAGACACAAATAGGACGCACTAATCCACTACTCTTTGGTTTAAGAGTCATTACAAAGTGCTTAATTAAGTAAGCCTCACTTAATCACAAAATGTTTGCATGCTAAACGAGTTCTTGTGAAGCACGACACTTGACATATTCTGTACAAAAATAATTACAAGCGGGAGGCCTGGTACATTGAGCCTCCGAACATTTCATTTCAGGCCTTGCCCATTCATCACCAGGCTGGAATTAAAAGGCTTTCAGTGCCGAGCGGTGCCAGACTCCCACATTCCTGCCGGCTGAGTCACTGTGGCTGCCGAGCTGCTGCGGGCGGCCATGGCACGGGTGCTGCCGGCATCAGCTGGTGCTGGGGCTGCGGCACAGGAGGTGCGGGTGCCCTCGGTGGGAGGCTCACGTCTGGCAGCGCGAGTGAGGCTGTGGTCTTCTCTGTGCGAAGGACAGGTTCCCCTGAGCGTGCTTGCAGCCCTTGCAGCAGCAGAAGTGTGGTGGCAGGGACTTGGTTAGCATCAGAGTTTCGAAAGCCAGCATTGTGGTCACTTGGGGTGCAGTGGGAATGGGAGGAGGTGAAATCCTCAGTGCCTCCGGAGCCTCACGACCACCCCTTCCTTGGGAGGCAACGCCACCCCAGCTACATCCACATCCCCTGCCTGCAGGCACAGCGGCGTTCCCAACCCTGCTCCCTCCCAGCCTCACAAAAGCTGCTGAATGGGATTTTGTCAGGACCAGCGTGCAGACCTTTGTTGGAAGTGCTGGTGCCCATTAAAATCTGTATCCCCGTCGGGATAATTGGGAACCTTACCCAAGCCTCCCTTTTGATGGAAATCCTTTAATTAGTGTTCTGTATGTGCTATAATGCCCTCAGCACCCTGGTTGTTTTCTCACACGTTAGCTGCTCAGGTTGGAGCATTCTGAGCTCTGCAGCACGCTGCACAACGTGCACGAGGGCGTCCTTCAGCGCCCAGGGTGCGTGGTGCAGCCGGCATGTAGGTGCTCCTCATCCTGCCTGGGGTGCCTGCCTCTTTCTGACTGTTTTGTGGCCTCTGAAGCTCAGCACATGAAAGTGAGGAGAGCTGACCCCCTCACAACCAAGCCCCCCCACTCAGGAAATATCCCTGCAGGTGGCTGCGCTCCCCTGACGTGGTCAGGATCATGGGCACGGCCGGTCTCCTCTCCCCATGTGCTCTGCTGCACGGCGGTGTATGACGGCAATGCACAAAGCCAAGGACATGTTTGCTGCATGGGGGCTGCCCCGTGTCTGTGCTGGAGGCTGTTACCCACAGAGCTGCCCTGGCTGGTGCTGGGGGAGTCCAGGATGGTGTCCCCTAAGCCGCTGATGCTTCTCGTCCTCAGCTGGATGAGGGGGGCTCTGCAGCCCTGGGGGGCCCAGCTGCAGTCAGCAGGGTGGGAGGGGAGGTGCTGCCTGTGCTCTGCTGGGGGGCCAGGTCCCATACAGTATGGGGTCAGCAGCAGAGTGGCTGGACTGGCCCCGTGCCCTGTGGGCTGCTGGAGCCAGCACAGGGGCACAGCCCGCCGGGCTGGTGGGGAGGGAGCTGCTG